CAGTCTCAACTAGAGGAGGCGCTCGAAAAATTAAACGAAGGGGAACAACAGAGTGTTCCTGATGCAAGTTGGACAACCGAACCAAAGGTTCCCCCACAAAAAGGGAGAAATTTATCAAGCTAGGCATGGAAGCCGGAACCAGCTTTACTGCATACTGAGGAACACCCGAAGTTGGGCATTTGCGGCATACAGGAATTACGACAACCAATTTGGACCGAAAGCAATAGACCGGCAGAGAAGATCCGCACATTTGAAGGAATGATGGAATATCTGGGGGATGCATCACCCGGCGAAGTTGCGACGGCTTATCAGCAACTTTTTCCCAGGCCAGTTAACCCCGGTTTATTTTATCAAGATGCATGGAATAATTTTGTACAATGGCTGGACTCCATTCGCAACGAGGGGATATCAGCACAGCTGGTCCAAATGGGAAGACAGATATATACACAACTCAGGGTAATACAAACGGCAAAGGATTTCCCAGGAGTAAAAATGTACGACATCAGGGAGGTCATGGCTCAGCCTCTGCAAAAAGACGATCCATACATACAGGCTGCATTTAAGTTGCGGAAGAAAACCTCGGCACCACCACCCGGCAAGGCAAAATGTTTCAGATGCCGCCGCACAGGGCATAACAGTTCGACGCGCAGTGTGCGATTGCAAAGAGAAGTTTTTAAGCCAAAAAAAAAAAAAAAAACAATACACGGCCCTGGAAACAATGAATACTGGGGCTTTGGGGCAAGTAGGATATGTACGAAAGGAACGCCTTCACGCTTGGACACCTCCACCCAACAATGTGGCACTCTTTCGATCAAACGTCGAAACGGTGACGCAACATATTATAACAGGAAACGTACAGAAACACAAGACACAACTGCATCAACAGCAAGAAATCTTTCAATCGTCACTTCTCCCTCAGGGAACGACATCAAAGAACGAGTTTACGTTAATTCCAGCGCGCTCTCACGATCCGCACGTCGTGGTGTTGGCATCAGAGGCTAACCGCATCGCGAAACATATGTGGACCCATACAACATGGGAACAGCGAGGTTCAATAATGCGCCGGTTCATAGAGTTCACTACAAAAAAACAATTTAGAGATACAGGAACAATACATCCCACTATATATAGTAAGTTTGCAACTGGCAAAGAGCAGCGCGGTTCAATACACGCGCACATTGCTGACCCTTCTGG